AAAACTGCAACTCCCAGGGTCGTTTAGTAAAACTACAGCTCCCAGGGGGCCATATCATGGAGCCTCGCAGTTCAAGTGGAGCCAAACTACATCCATTTGAGTATACATAGCTGCACCTTTAGTAAAACTAAAATTCCCAGGTTCTTTAGTAAAACTACATAGCATGGAGCCATAGCATGGAGCCATGTTGGTTCAAGTGGGGTCAATGCATCTATTTGAGTATATATAACTGAATCTTTAGGAAAACTACAACTCCCAGGGTATCATAGCATGAAGCCATGGTGGTTCAAGTAGGGTCAATGCATCTATTTGAGTATATATAGTTGTACTTTTAGTAAAACTACAGCTCCCAGGGTGTCATAGCATGGAGCCTCGCAGTTCAAGTGGAGCCAAACTACATCCATTTGAGTATACATAGCTGCACCTTTAGTAAAACTAAAATTCCCAGGTCCTTTAGTAAAACTACAACTCCCAGAGTGTCATAGCATGGAGCCATGGCAGTTCAAGTGGGGTCAATGCATCTATTTGAGTATATATAACTTAACCTTTAGGAAAATTACAACTCTTAGAGTTTCATGGCATTGAGCCATGTTGGTTCAAATGGGGTCAATGCATCTATTTGAGTATATATAGCTGCACTTTTAGGAAAACTACAACTTTCAGGGCCCTTTAGTAAAACTACAACTCCCAGTGTGCCATAGCATGGAGCCTCGCAGTTCAAGTGGAGCCAAACTACATCCATTTGAGTATACATAGCTGCATGTTTAGTAAAACTACAACTCCCAGGGTCCTTTAGTAAAAGTACAAGTCCCTGGGTCCTTTAGTGAAACTACAACTCCTCGAGCCTCATAGCATGGAGCTATGGCAGTTCAAGTGGGCTCAAACTGCATCTGTTTGAGTATATATAGCCGCACCTTTAGGAAAACTACAATTCCCAGGTTCTTTTGGTAAAACTCCCAGGGTGTCATAGCGTGGAGCCATGGCAATTCAAGCGGGCTCCAACTGCATCATATATATATATTGAACTGCCATGGCTTCATGCTATGACACCCTGGGAGTTTTACTAAAAGGCCCTGGGAATTGTAGTTTTAGATATATATATTCCTTTCTATTCCTGGGCTTTAGTTCTTGAGCTGCGGCTGGCTTGCAGTCAGAAAGAGGAAACCGTCTGCGGTTGAGCAGGGCTTCCCCGAAATATGGAGCTCTCCTTGTCTAGACGCAGAAAGAATGGCTGATCCAGGTCAAGTGAAAGGTCACCCTAGTTTTTGCATGCATTTCCTTGCAGACAGAAGAAGGAGAGTCATGACAAGCTGGCTTGGTTGATAAGGCACTCACTGGGAGTTGTAGTTCAAAAAGGTCTCATGCCCAAGGTCTGCCTCCCTCCTTACTTCCCGTTGTACTCTTCAATACATGACATAAACTATCGCCTTTATGGGTTGCTGTGAGTTTTCTGGAGTGTCTGGCCATGTTACAGAAGCATTTTCTCCTGACGTTTTGCCCACATCAGAGGTTGTGAGGTGTGTTGTAAACTAGGAAAGTGGGGTTTATATACCTGTGGGTGTGAGAAAGAACTCTTGCCTGTTGGAAGAAAGTGTGAATGTTGGAGTTGGCCACATTGATTAGCATTAAATGGCCTTGCAGCTTCAAAGCTTGGCTACTTCCTGCCTGGCGGATCCTTTGTTGCAAGGTGTTAGCTGGCCCTGGTTGTTTCCTGTCTGGAATTCCCCAGACAGTGAGGTTTATATCTATGTGGAATAATGTCCAGGGTGGGAAAAAAAACTCTTGTCTGCTTGAGGCAGGTGTGAATGTTGCAATTGGCCACCTTGATTAGGATTGAATGGTCTTGCAGCTTCAAAGCCTGGCTGCTTCCTGCTTGGAGGATCCTTTATTGGGAGGTGTTAGCTGGCCCTGATTGTTTCCTGTCTGCAATTCCCCAGAAAGTGAGGTTTATATGTCTGTGGAATAATGTCCAAAGTGGGAGAAAGCACTCATATCTGCTTGAGGCAAGTGTAAATGTTGCAATTGGCTCCATTGATTAGCATTGAACGGTTTTGCAGTTTCAAAACCTGGCTACTTCTTGCCTGGGCGATCCTTTTTTGGGAGGTGTTAGCTGGCCCTGGTTGTTTTCTGTCTGGAATTCCCCAGAAAGTGAAGTTTATATATCTGTGGAATAATGTCCAGGGTGGGAGAAAGCACTCATGTCTGCTTGAGGCGGGTGTGAATGTTGCAATTGGCCACCTTGATTAGGATTGAATGGTCTTGCAGCTTCAAAGCCTGGCTGCTTCCTGCCTGGGGGATACATTGTGGGGAGCTGTTAACTGGCCCTGATTGTTTCCTGTCTGGAATTCCCCAGACATTGAGGTTTGTATATTTGTGGAATTGTGAGGCTGTGAGGTCTGTTGGAAACTAGGCAAGTGGGGTTTATAGATCTGTGGAATAATGTCCAGGGTGGGAGAAAGAACTCTTGTCTGTTGGAAGCAAGTGTGAATGTTGCAATTGGCCACCTTGATTAGCACTGAATGGCTTTGCAGCTTCAAAGCCGGGCTACCTCTTGCCTGGGGGATCCTTTGTTGGGAGGTGTTAGCTGTCCCTGACTGTTTCCTGTCTGGAATTCCCCAGACAGTGAGGTCTTAATATCTGTGGAATAATGTCCAGGGTTGGAGAAAGAACTCTTGCTTGCTTGAGGTAGGTGTGAATGTTGCAATTGGCCACCTTGATTAGCATTTGAATGGCCTTGCAGCTTCAAAGCCTGGCTACTTCTTGCCTGGGGGATCTTTTGTTGGGTTATCAATGTCATTTCCTTCATCCTGCAGCACATTTGGCTCTAGTTTCTCAATGACGACTTCATCATTGTGTTCAACCAATTCGACCAATAGCTTGTGGCAGCCACAAAAAAGAAGTTTCTGGAGTAGAGCAAAGTTAGTTTGCCTCAGTGTGAGAGAGGCGTCAGTCTGAGAGGGCCTTCAGTGGGAGAAAGCCTCAGTGGGAGAAAAGCCTCAGTGAGTTAGTAGGCCTCAGTATGAGAAGGCCTCTGTTAGTTCGCCTCAGTGTGAGAAATTGTCAACATTTACACTCTCTCACACACACTGAGGCAAACTCAGTGTGAGAGGGCTGCACAACTAAACAGGAATGGACTGCGCAACTAAACAGGAAATAACACTTTCAAATCAGGAACAGAAAATGTTTCACATGTTGTTACATAATGTAAACAAACACCCAAGCCATGACGACAAGTTGGTTTTGTTCGCTTTCTTTTTGAGAGGGATTTGTGCTCAAGTAGAGCAAAGTTAGTTTGCCTCAGTGTGAGAGAGGCGTCAGTCTGAGAGGGCCTTCAGTGGGGGAAGGCCTCAGTGGGAGAAAGACCTCAGTGAGTTAGTAGGCCTCATATGAGAAGGCCTCAGTGTTAGTTCGCTTCAGTGTTAGTTCGCCTCAGTGTTAGTTCGCCTCAGTGTGAGAAATGGTCAATATTCACACACTCTCTCTCACACACACTGAGGTAAACTCAGTGTGAGAGGGCTGCACAACTAAACAGAAATGGACTGCGCAACTAAACAGGAAATAATACTTTCAAACCAGGAACAGAAAATGTTTCACATGTTGTTACATAATGTAAACAAACACCCAAGCCATGACGACAAGTTGGTTTTGTTCACTTTCTTTTTGAGAGGGATTTGTGCTCAAGTAGAGCAAAGTTAGTTTGCCTCAGTGTGAGAGAGGCGTCAGTCTGAGAAGGCCTTCAGTGGGGGAAGGCCTCAGTGGGAGAAAGGCCTCAGTGAGTTAGTAGGCCTCAGTATGAGAAGGCCTCAGTGTTAGTTCGCCTCAGTGTTAGTTCGCCTCAGTGTGAGAAATGGTCAACATTCACACACTCTCTCACACACACACTGAGGTAAACTCAGTGTGAGAGGGCTGCACAACTAAACAGAAATGGACTGCGCAACTAAACAGGAAATAATACTTTCAAACCAGGAACAGAAAATGTTTCACATGTTGTTACATAATGTAAACAAACACCCAAGCCATGGCGACAAGTTGATTTTGTTCGCTTTCTTTTTGAGCGGGATTTGTGCTCAAGTAGAGCAAAGTTAGCTTGCTTGCCTCAGTGTGAGAGAGGCGTCAGTCTGAGAAGGCATTCAGTGGGAGAAAGCCTCAGTGGGAGAAAGGGCTCAGTGAGTTAGTAGGCCTCAGTATGAGAAGTCCCCAGTGTTAGTTCACCTCAGTGTGAGAAATGGTCAACATTCACACTCTCTCACACACACACTGAGGCAAACTCAGTTAGTTTGCCTCAGTGTGAGAGAGACGTCAGTCTGAGAGGGCCTTCAGTGGGAGTGGGCCTCAGTGAGTTAGTAGGCCTCAGTAGGAGAAGGCCTCGTGTTAGTTCGCCTCAGTGTAAGAAATGGTCAAATTCACACTTTCTCTCATGCACTGAGGGAAACTCAGTGTGAGAGGGCCACACAACTAAACAGGAAAGGACCACGCAACTAAACAGGAAATAACACTTTCAAACCAGGAACGGAAATTTTTTCACATGTTGTTACATAATGTAAACAAACACCCAAGCCATGGGGACAAGGTGGTTTTGTTCGCTTTCTTTTTGAGAAGGATTTGTGCTCAAGTAGAGCAAAGTTAGTTTGCCTCAGTGTGAGAGAGGCGTCAGTCTGAGAGGGCCTTCAGTGGGAGAAGGCCTCAGTGGGAGAAAGGCCTCAGTGAGTTAGTAGGCCTCAGCATGAGAAGGCCTCAGTGTTAGTTTGCCTCAGTGTGAAAAATGGTCAACATTCACACTCTCTCTCACACACTGAGGCAAACTCAGTGTGAGAGGGCCGTGCAACTAAACAGGAAATAACACTTTCAAACCAGGAACAGAAAATGTTTCACATGTTGTTACATAATGTAAACAAACACCCAAGCCATGGCGACAAGTTGGTTTTGTTCGCTTTCTTTTCGGGGGGGATTTGTGCTCAAGATGCTTTGCTACTCATTCCTCCCCTGTTGTCTTGTTGCAGGGAGTTCCACAGGTTGCTTTTTTTGGACAATGGAAGGGAGTCGATCGATATGCCAGGAGCAGCCCTGCCCTTGGTTTGCTATTGAATAACCGAGAGGGGATTACACATTTACCCAAAGCCTGACCCGGCTGACCTCAATCTCTTTCCCTGCCAAGTCACAAGTGAAAGACTTATTGATCGGAGACGGTTCATTTCTGTCCTGGGCTCAAAAGCCAACAAAATAGGTGAATATCCCCTTATTTGAGGTTTGGGAAGCTTATCTTTTGTATGGTATCCCTTATTGTAAAGTTGGGAAATGTGCCCCTTTGATGCACCGGCAGATTTAGAAAAGTTTGTCCTTTTCTCAGATTTGGAAAGCCTGTCTTTTGTGAGGATTGACAGGTGCCCTTTACTGTCATGAATACCCCTCGTTTGAAAGTTGGGAAACCTGTCCTTTTATAGGACTGGGCAGATTTGGAAGGATTTTCGATTTCTCATATTTGGAAAGCTTGTCCTTTATACGATTAGCAGGTGTCCCTTATGGTAAGGTATTTCCCTGCTTTGAAAGTTGGATACTGTTAGAGCGAGTGGGCTTATTAACCAAAGACCCTCCCCATAAATGCACAGCAGAGTCAATGATTAGCAGCAGTATGACCTAGCACCCAAAATGATAAAACAAACAAAAACACACAGACCAATGTTATCTCTTCCATAGGAGGCTTTTTGTTGTAGCAAAATAATATGGTTGCACTATTTACAAAAACAAGGTTTCCATAACACAAATAAAGTCCTTTACACTTCCTTCTTTGCTTCCATGCTGGGCTTCTTTCTCATGCTTTGCTCTTACAGAGCTTCTTCTCACACCAAACTTACACAGGAGTTTCACACAGTACCTTTTTACACACAGCAGCCTTCACACAGGAGCTTCACACATTAGCTTTATACACAAGACTTTCACCCTGGCGCTTCTCTCACATAGAAGCTTCTCAAAACAGGTCTTCTCATACTGAGGCCTACGAACTCACTGAGGTCTTTCTCCCACTGAGGCCTTCTCACACTGAGGGCTCTCTCAGACTGATGCCTTTTTCACACTGAGGCAAACTAACACTGAGGCCTTTTAACTCACTGAGATCTTTCTCCCACTGAGGCCTTCCCACACTGAGGGCTTTCTCAGACTGACACCTCTCTCATACTGAGGCGAGCAAACACTGAGGCCTTCTAACTCATTGAGGCCTTTCTCCCACTGAGGCCTTCCCACACTGAGGGCTCTCTCAGACTGATGCCTCTCTCACACTGAGGCCTTCTCACTCTGAGGGCTTTCTCAGACTGATGCCTCTCTTACACTGAGGCGAACGAACACTGAGGTCTTTTAACTTACTGAGACCTTTTTTCCCACTGAGGCCTTCCCACACTGAGAGCTCTCTCAGACTGATGCCTCTCTCACACTGAGACGAACTAACACTGAGTCCTTCTCAAACTGAGGCTTATTAACCCACTGAGGCCTTCTCATACTGAGGGCTATCTCAGACTCCTCTCTCACACTGAGGTGAACTAATACTGAGGCCTCATACTGAGGCCTACTAACTCACTGATGTCTTCTCACCCTGAGGGCTCTCTCAGACTGATGCCTTTCTCACACTGAGATGAACACTGAGGCCTTCTTAAACTGAGGCCTATTAACCCACTGAAGCCTTCTCATACTGAGGGCTCTCTCAGATGCCTCTCTCACACAGAGGCACTGAGGCCTTCTCATACTGGGGCCTACTAACTCATTGAGGCCTTCTCACACTGAGGGTTCTCTCAGACTGACACCTCTTTCACACAGAGGCGAACTAACACTGAACCCTTCTCATATTGAGGCTTACTAACTCATTGAGGCCTTTCTCCCATGGAGGCCTTCTCACACTGAGGGCTCAGACTGAGGTCTACTAAGTTACAGGCAAATCAGTGCTTATATTGAACTACAGCTTAAGCGGCTGAGTGGGAAAAGGAAAGGGCCTGAGGCTGTTAGGAATTATGGAAGTTGAAGTCCAAAACACCTGGAGGGCCCAAGTTTGATCATGCCTGTTTTATAGGGTTGGTAGATTTGGAAAGCTTCACCTTTTCTCAGATTTGGAAATCTTTATAGGACTGACAGGGGTCCCTTATTGCAGTGGTACAATGGGTTATACCCTTGTGCCCGCAGGGCTGTACCCCAACAGGTCGGAGGTTCGAATCCGGGGAGAGCGCGGAAGTGCTCCCTCTGTCAGCTCCAGCTCCCCATACGGGGACATGAGAGAAGCCTCCCACAAGGATGGTAAAACATCAAAACATCCGGTCAATGTCCCCTGGGCAGACGGCCAATTCCCTCACACCAGAAGCGGCTTGCAATTTCTCAAGTTGCTCCTGACACGAAAATAAATAAATCCCTCTTATTTGAAAGTTGGGAAACATGCTTCTTTTGTAAGTTTGGCAATATTTGGCCTCAGTGAGTTAGTACGCCTCAGTATGAGAAGGCTTCAGTGTTAGTTCGCCTCAGTATGCCTTTCCTTTTCTGATTTGGAAAGTTTTTTTCCTTTTCCGACATCTGGAACGCTTCTCTGAACAAGATACCCCCCAAAGGCCTCAGTGTTAGTTTGCCTCAGTGTGAAAGAGGTGTCAGTCTGAGAGAGTCCTCAGTGTGAGAAGGTGTCAGTCTGAGAGAACCCTCAGTGTGGGAAGGCCTCAGTGAGTTAGTAGGCCTCGGTATGAGAAAGCCTCAGTGTTAGTTTGCCTCTGTGTGCCTTTCCTTTTCTGATTTGGAAAGCTTTTTTTCCTTTTCTGACATCTGGAATGCTTCTCTGAACAAGATACCCCCCCCCCCAAAAGCCTCAGTGTTAGTTTGCTTCAGTGTGAAAGAGGTGTCAGTTTGAGAGAGCCCTCAGTGTGAGAAGGCCTCAGTGAGTTAGTAGGCCTCAGTATGAGAAAGCCTCAGTGTTAGTTCGCCTCAATGTGCCTTGCCTTTTCTGATTTCCTTTTCCAACATCTGGAAAGCTTCTCTGAACAAGATACCCCTCCCCCCCCCAAAAGGCCTCAGTGTTAGTTTGCCTCAGTGTTGAAGAGTTAGTAGGCCTCAGTATAAAAGTTAGTTCGCCTCAGTGTGCCTTTCCTTTTCTGATTTGGAAAGCTTTTTTTCCTTTTCCGACATCTGGAACGCTTCTCTGAACAAGATACCCCCCCAAAGGCCCCCCCCCCAAAGTTTGAGAGAGCCCTCAGTGTGAGAAGGCCTCAGTGAGTTAGTAGGCCTCAGTATGAGAGTTACTTCGCCTCAGTGTGCCTTTCCTTTTCTGATTTGGAAAGCTTTTTTCCTTTTCCGACATCTGGAACGCTTCTCTGAACAAGATGCCCCCAAAAGTCCTATATTTTGGTTGCAGAAATGAGTGCGCAGCATAATTTCCAATCCAATATGTTCATTTCACAGAGATGCGAGCAGAAATCCATGTGCCGAAGGGAGCAGAAACCCATCCGTTGGCATTTCGGTGACGCCCTGATTGCCAGATTCTGATTTTACTCCTTCTTTATTGCAATGCTTTCTAACCTGGCGATGCTTTTGCAAACCTCTCCTGTTGCAACTCAGCATCCGCTGCTTCCTTCCTTTGCCGGAATCGCCCACCTGTTCTGCTTCCTCCTCCCTGCATGGCACATTGTTTCCGAAGTCATCGCAGGTGATTTATGGCATGCACTAAGGTGGGAGGGTGTTATAGTTTTGCACATCGGCTTCAACGACCGAGAAGGATAAGGTTGGATGGGATGGCATGCGGTGGGCGGATGGCGCCTTGATACGTCTTGACAGATGTCCCCAAGAGTCATCCGCCGAATCCAGACTGTTACGTCTCAAGGCGGAGAGAAGATGCTGGAGAGAGAGAGAGAGACGGAAAGAAAGAAAGAAGGGAATGAAAAGTGCTGACAGGGACGCTATCTCTTCCCTTTCCTTCCCTGCCGTGTGCCGAGAACAGAGACACAAATCCCTTTAACACCATGCAGTTTTAATTCCTGCTGCCGTAGGCCTTCTCGCTCTTGAGTCTCTATCTTTCCTAACCTGGAGCAAAATGAACTCTTTGCAAGAGTAGACGGACTGCATGATGGACCTTATCACATTGGGAACAGGAGCTTCCCAGTGATGCAATGGGTTAAACCCTTGTGCCTCTCTAACTACACAGATATCTATGAGTACAATGTAAATATAAAGCCTATAAAGCCCTGAACGGTTCTGGCCCAGTTTATTTGTCTGAACGTATCTCCTGCTATGATCCACCTAGGGCTGTGAGATCATCTTTGTTGTCCCCCCATTATCATAGAATCCTAGAATCAAAGAGTTGGAAGAGACCTCCTGGGCCATCCAGTCCAACCCCATTCTGCCAAGAAGCAGGAATATTGCATTCAAAGCACCCCTGACAGATGGCCATCCAGCCTCTGTTTAAAAGCTTCCAAAGAAGGAGCCTCCACCACACTCCAGGGCAGAGAGTTCCACTGCTGAATGGCTCTCACAGTCAGGAAGTTCTTCCTCGTGTTCAGAGGGACTCTTGTAGTTTGAAGCCATTGTTTGAAGCCTGATCTCTCCAGGTAATGAGTTCCAGAGTCGGGGAGCCACAGAGGAGAAGGCTCTCTTGTTGGAGTTGTTTGCAATTTGTAATGTAGATTTCAAAGTATGTATGTATGTTTAAAATGCAGTAGCTATGTGCTGAGTGTATTCCTGTGTGGAAAGAGTTAACTGAACCATGGAGGGAACGGCATTCCTGGAGAGTTCATAAATCAAGTGTATAGAACTAATGGACGCAGTCTCCTGTGTCATACGTCACTCTGGAATGCAAGAGGTGTGGACTAGTACTGATAACTGAGTTCGTGTGTTCGCGATGTGACTATCGGACGGGGAAGAAGAAGTTTACGATGTACTGAGTGCTAAGTAGCTTCTAATGTATATAGTTGTAAAATAAAGTAGTTTATAGCCTAATGTATACATTTATTTGTATACATTATATACATTTATATACATTATATACATTTGTCTATTTACATTAAACCTTTGTGTCAGCAGGACTGCTGACTGAAAAGTTGGCAGTTCGAATCCGGGGAGTGGGGTGAGCTCCCATCTGTGAGCTCCAGCTTCTCATATGAGGACATAAGAGAAACCTCCCACAGGATGGCAAAAAATCCGGACATACCTTGGGCAAAATTCTTGCAGACGGCCAATTATCTCACACCAGAAGCGACTTGCAGTTTTTCAAGTCGCTCCTGACACCAAAGAAATAAAAAAGCACATTGAGATATATAGACAGTTCCTAAATTACAAATGTTCAACTTACAAATGACTCATAGTGAAGAATGGGGCTGAGACAACAGGAAGTGAGAGAAATCTATCTCTCTGAAGGGAAATCCACTTCTGAAAGAGTTATTATCATGAGGAAAAGAGGTCTTAATTAGAGTTTCTTGCCAATCCTTGTTTCCACAACAAGCCAAACTTTCCAAAATCCAATTATCTCAGGGAGAGAAAGGGAGGTGAAGTATTCTGAACAGGGGCACAGGCAGCAAAACAAACACTACAGGGATGTGTTCACCCTATGCTATCCAAAGCGAAACATACAAGGCTTTGGTTAGACCTCACCTGGACTATTGTGTCCAGTTCTGGGCACCACAATTCAAGAGAGATATTGACAAGCTGGAATGTGTCCAGAGGAAGGCGACTAAAATGATCCAGGGTCTGGAGAACAAGCCCTATGAGGAGCGGCTTAAGGAGCTGGGCATGCTTAGCCTGAAGAAGAGAAGGCTGAGAGGAGATATGATAGCCATGTATAAATATGTGAGAGGAAGCCACAGGGAGGAGGGAGCAAGCTTGTTTTCTGCTTCCTTGGAGACTAGGACGCGGAACAATGGCTTCAAACTACAAGACAGGAGATTCCATCTGAACATGAGGAAGAACTTCCTGACTGTGAGAGCCGTTCAGCAGTGGAACTCTCTGGTGGAGGCTCCTTCTTTGGAAGCTTTTAAACAGAGGCTGGATGGCCATCTGTCAGGGGTGATTTGAATGCAATATTCCTGCTTCTTGGCAGGATGGGGTTGGACTGGATGGCCCATAAGGTCTCTTCCAACTCTTTGATTCTATGATTCTAAAGAGCATTCTGAACTCCACCAATTATGGAATTGGGCCAAACTTAGACAAGAATCTTCCCAGCAAGGCTTCCGTGAAACAAGGACACGAACTACACTTGATTCTGAATGATGCTTCATCTGACTATATTTCCCATACTTGGAACTTTTATCCCCTCTTTAAGCTATTCCAAGCACTCAGAAATTGGTTTCGCTTTAATTGAGATTCCCTTATCTTTTTCTGTCAGATTCTGGCAGACCGCCGAAGGCACTGTTCGGTCTGCCTGTTTCAGCTGTTTCAACAGTTTCAACAGTTTCTCAAGTTGCTCTTGACACGAGGAAAAATAAAAACCTAATCCAAAGCACCCTGTTCCTGAAACACAATCCCAGGCTAAACTCTAGCCATTTGCAAAATCTGGGGAAATATCCCTTATGGGTTATGCCGTATCAGAGTTCCGCTTGAATTCCTTCCAGGCCTTCTTTCGGAGTCTCCCGGAGTCTCTGCTCCGTCTCCTCCCTGCGCGGCATTTAATGGCTCTGCAATTGCCTGCCTGTCTTCCCATCGGGCTCCGAACCTGAAGGGTTCATTTGGCTAAAGACACCCTTGCGATCAACACAACCTATCATCAGCAGTTGAAGTGGCAGCATGAGGCCAGGCGGAATGACACTTCGCGCAGTGGACTCAAAGGGAGCTTGGAAACATTCCCTGGATCATAGAATCAAAGAGTTGGAAGAGACCTCATGAGCCATCCAGTCCAACCCCATTCTGCCAAGAAGCAGGAATATTGCATTCAAATCACCCCTGACAGATGGCCATCCAGCCTCTGTTTAAAAGCTTCCAAAGAAGGAGCCTCCACCACACTCCAGGGCAGGGAGTTCCACTGCTGAACGACTCTCACAGTCAGGAAGTTCTTCCTCATGTTCAGATGGAATCTCCTCTCTTGTAGTTTGAAGCCATTGTTCCATTGCGTCCTAGTCTCCAGGGAAGCAGAAAACAAGCTTGCTCCCCCCTCCCTGTGGCTTCCTCTCACATATTTATACAGCTGCCGAGCGCTGAACCATTTGAAGCTTCCAAGCAGTCTTCAAGGGCAACCCCATGTAGAGAGCGTTGCAGTAGTCTAGACGGGATGTAACCAGAGCGTGGACCACCATGGCCAAGTCAGACTTCCCAAGGTACGGGCGCAGCTGGCACGCAAGTTTTAATTGTGCAAAAGCTCCCCTGACCACCGCCGAAACCTGGGGATCCAGGCTCAGCGATGAGTCCAGAGTCACTCCCAAGCTGCGAACCTGCGTCTTCAGGGGGAGTGTGACCCCATCCAGCACAGGCTGTAACCCTATGCCCTGTTCGGCCTTTCGACTGACCAGGAGTACCTCTGTCTTGTCTGGATTCAATTTCAATTTGTTCGCCCTCATCCAGACCGTAACAGCGGCCAAGCACTGGTTCAGGACCTCAACAGCCTCTTTCTATCATGTCTCCTGTCAGCATTCTCTTCTTCAGGCTAAATATGCCCAGCTCCTTAAGCCGCTCCTCCTAGGGCTTGTTCTCCAGACCCTTGATCATTTCAGTTGCCCTCCTCTGGACACATTCCAGCTTGTCAATGTCTCTCTTGAATTGTGGTGCCCAGTATTGGACACAATATTCCAGGTGTGGTCTAACCAAGGCAGAGTAGAGCATGGGGAGCATGACTTCCCTAGATCTAGACACTATGCTCCTCTTGATGCAGGCCAAAATCCCATTGGCTTTTTTTGCCGCCACATCACATTGTCGGCTCATGTTTAACTTGTTGCCCACGAGGACTCCAAGATCTTTTTCACACGTACTGCTCTCGAGCCAGGCCTCATCGTCCCCCATTCTGTATCTTTGCATTTCTTTTTTCCTGCCAAAGTGGAGTATCTTGCATTTGTCCTGTTGAACTTCATTTTGTTAGTTTTGGCCCATCATCTCTCTAATCTGTCAAGATCGTTTTGAATCCTGCTCCTGTCCTCTGGAGTATTGGCTCTCCCTCCCAATTTGGTGTCGTCTGCAAACTTGATGATCCTGCCTTCTAGCCCTTCATCCAAGTCATTAATAAAGATGTTGAACAGGACCGGGCCCAGGGGGGAACCCTGCGGATGGCACTCCACTCGTCACTTCTTTCCAGGATGAAGAGGAAGCATCAGACTACAGCTCCCAGCATCCTCCCTAGTTCCCAGGACCAGGGGATATGAGTTGTTGTCATCCAGACATTCAGAGATTTGTAGTCAAATGAGGAATGATTAGAAGCCGGATGGACCTATAGATCTCCATCAGGCATGAGCAAACTTCGGCCCTCCAGGTGTTTTGGACTTCAACTCCCACAATTCCCATGCCTGGGCTACATCCTATTCTTAGCCCCATTCCAATGTGTTCTGCCTCAGACGCATCTCTCTGCATAACCTCCAGTTTTCTTCATTTGGAGTACAATCTGTATTAATTATTTACGGCTGCGCTTTAATTCATTACTAGTTTGCGTACATAACGTTGCCATTCGAGGCAAGGTTTTGCACAGAACAATCCATGCATAAATCCCCTGCAGAAATGATGATAATGACGTGCTATTTCTTCTCTCTTGAAGCAACTTATGCAATTAGATTCCTATATAGGGCAGGCACCTAATCGGATGCAGTATGCATCTATAGGCAGGCATTCCCTATTTTCCAGTTGCATGTAGCTGGTCCAGCATGGCTCCTATAACCATTTGAGGGATCTAGACAAAACTTGATACACAACATCTAACTTAAAACACTTGAGGGTTTAAGGGATGATGGGAGGTGTAGTGCACCCATAGACGTGGCACACGTATCCATCATGACCAATGTAAAATACTGGCAGGGTGTGTGTGTGTGTGTGTGTGTGTGTGTGTGTGAGAGAGAGAGAGAGAGAGAGAGAATGGCAAAGGATGATGGGAGCTGTAGTCCTCCTCTATCCACAAAGCAATACGAATCCTACTAATGATGTATCTGGACTAAACTTGGCACTCAGACCCATCATGATCCAACTTGAAGAAATTGTTGGGCTTCGGAGGGTGGACTCATAGGGGATGATGGGAGTTGGAGTCCACACACATCCTCAGAGCAATGTGAATCCTACCAATGATTGACCTGGACTAAACTTGACACACACACTCATCATGGCCAATGTAAAATATTGTTGGGGTTTAGCGTGGGGGAATTAACCCAGAATGATGGGAGTCGTAGCACAGCCAAATCCAGAGAGCCATGTGAAACCCATTTATGATGGATCTGGACCACACTTGGTGCACATGCTCATCTTGACTTAAAATAATGGTGGGATTTGGAGTGGGGGTGACAATAGATGATGGGAGTTGTAGTCCACTCACATCTGGAGAGCCATGTGAAATCCACCAAGGATGGATCTGGACCAAACTTGGTAATACCCATCATGGCATGAAGCACTGGTGATGTTTGGGGAGACAGGTTGACATATGATGATGTGAGTTGTAGTCCAGCCACATCCGGAGAGCCATTTGAGTTCTACCGACGATGGATATGGACCAAATTTGGTATACATACCCATTATGAGTTAAAATACTGGCTGGTTTTGTGTGTGGGGGGGAATAACAGGATAATGGGAGTTGTAGTCCACCCACATCTGAAGAGCTGTGTGAATCCCACTGATGATTAATCTGGACCAAACTTGGTACACATACCCATCATGACTTAAAATACTGGTGGGGTTTGGAGTGGTTGGGGGTTGACAGAAGATGATGGAAGTTGTAGTCCACTTCCACATCTGGAGAGCTACGTGAAACTCACTGATGACATACCAAACTTGTTACACATACCTATCATGACTTAAAATACTGGTGAGGTTGGGAGGGGATTGATAGAGAATGATGGGAGTTGTAGTCCACCCACATCCAGAGAGCTGTGTGCATCTCACTGGTGATGGATCTGGACCAAACTTGGTACACATACCCATCATGACTTAAAATACTGGTGGGGTTTGGGGGTGATTGGGGGTTGACAGAAGATGATGGAAGTTGTAGCCCACTTCCACATCTGGAGAGCTACGTGAAACTCACTGATGATATACCAAACTTGTTACACATACCTATCATAACTTAAAATACTGGCAAGGTTGGGAAGGGATTGAAAGAGGATGATGGGAGTTGTAGTCCACCCTCATCCAGAGAGCTGTGTGAATCCCACTGATGATGGGATTCACACAGCTTTAAGATACAATGGGTATTTTAAGTTACCCGTTATATCTTAAAATACTGGTGGGTTTTGGGAGTGGTTGGGGGGGTTGACAGTGGATGATGGGAGTTGTAGTCCATGTCTACATCTGGAGAGCCATATGAAACGTGAAACCCACTGATGATGGAGCAAACTTGGTACACATACCCATCATGACTTAAAATACTGGCGGGGTTGACAGGGGATTGAGAGAGGGTGATGGGAGTTGTAGTCTATCCACATCTGGAGAGCTGTCTGCATCCCACCAAGGATGGATCTGGACCAGACTTGGCAAACAGCCCCATTATGGCTAACTCAACATACTTAACCCGGGTAACATTGGCTACATAAAGTAATAGTCCATATATTTTCCATTTGCAGGTCAATGTCTCAGTATACATCAATATATATATATATAGGTTAGGTAAAGATTTTCCCCTGACATGAAGTCCAGTCGTGTCTGACTCTGGGGGTTGGTGGCTCATCTCCATTTCTAAGCTGAAGAGCTGGCGTTGTCCATAGACACCTCCAAAGTTATGTAGCCAGCATGACTGCATAGAGCACTGTTACCTTCCGGCCGGATCTCGGAAGCAAAGCAGGGTCAGGCCTGGTTAGTACTTGGATGGGAGACCACCTGGGAATACCGGGTGATGTAGGCTAAGCCTACGGCCATACCACCCTGAACATGCCCAATCCCGTCTGATCACGGAAGCTAAGCAGGGTCAGGCCTGGTTAGTACTTGGATGGGAGACCGCCTGGGAATGCAGGTGCTGTAGGCTAAGCCTACAGCCATACCACCCTGAACACACCCGATCTCGTCTGATCTTGGAAGCTAAGCAGGGTCGAGCCTGGTTAGTACTTGGATGGGAGATCGCCTGGGAATACCGGGTGATGTAGGCGAAGCCTACAGCCGTACCACCCTGAACACACCCGATCTCGTCTGATCTTGGAAGCTAAGCAGGGTCGAGCCTGGTTAGTACTTGGATGGGAGACCGCCTGGGAATACCAGGTGATGTAGGATAAGCCTACGGCCATGCCACCCTGAACATGCCCAATCCCATCTGATCTCGGAAGCTAAGCAGGGTCGAGCCTGGTTAGTACTTGGATGGGAGATCACCTGGGAATACCAGGTGCTGTAGGCTAAGCCTACAGCCATACCACCCTGAACACACCCGATCTCGTCTGATCCAGAAGCTAAGCAGGGTCGGGCCTGGTTAGTATTTGGATGGGAGACCGCCTGGGAATACCGGGTGCTAAACTAAACCTACAACCATACCACCCTGAACATGCCCAATCCCTTCTGATCTTGGAAGCTAAGCAGGGTCAGGCCTGGTTAGCACTTGGATGGGAGACCGCCTGGGAATACTGGGTGCTGTGGGCTACCACTCTAAACACGCCTTCCAAGGTCATGTGGCCAGCATGACTGCATGGAGTGCCTTTACCTTCCTGCCGGAGCGGTACCTATTGATTCTACTCACATTTGCATGTTTTCGAACTGCTAGGTTGGCAGAAGCTGGGGCTGCCAGCGGCAGCTCACACCGTTCCCTGGATTCGAACCTGTAACCTTTCAGTCAACTAACTCAGCAGCTCAGTGCTTTAACCCACTGCACCACCGGGGGCTCCATATATATACATACATATACATACAAACACACATATACATACACCCTATATTTGCCCATATTGTAGTTTTCTGCCTGCGTGTGCCTTCCTTCCCCCTCCTTCCCATGCCCTGAGATCCAGCCTCTCTAAGCCCTCAAGGATGGTATTTCGAACCACTTTCCCCATCTATCTTTCAGAAAAAGGGGGATCTTCAAAGGCAAGCGCAAAGAGGCCTCTTTAAGCCTGCCCTCCAGCGATGGCTTCTGCAGTGGGAAAGCTTCTCTCCGCATCCAAGATGTGTGTGCATTCGCTCCCTTGGAAACTTTGCTCTCTTTTTAAATATTTTGGGTGGAAAGGGAAAGGCTCCAGGCTTGTATGATAGGGGAGGGCAATTTGCATTTATAACAGCGCCAAGTGAGCGCCGTGGTTTGAGCGCTGAGCAAACTCTCCAGGAGACTTGGGTTCGAATCCCCGCCCAGGCGTAGGAATCCTTGAGAGGACAGATTTGCAAAGATATAAACATGAGTCTCACTTCCCTTCTGGGTTATCAATGCCATTTCCTAATTGGTTCTGTCATAAAAACACGGGGAAAGTGTATTAAACTGCACAAAACTTTATTTCTGCAGAAGTGACATCCTGCAGCATATTTATTTATTTATTTATTTATTTCTTGCACTTATAGACCGCCACTCTCAGCCCAGGGGCGACTCGTGGCGGTGTACAACAACATAGAAAAGACAGCTTACAATAAATCAACAATACACAACGTTCTACTACTACAAACACTACTATACTAAAAATCCGCTTCGTCAAATCATAGGGTCAATCCATCTCATAATCACAGTCCATTCCGGTCGTCAATTCCAGTAACCTAGCACTCAATTGAAGGCCATCTCGAAGAGCCATGTTTTCAGGCCCTTACGAAAGGCCATAAGGGAAGGCGCCTGTCTAACTTCAGCAGGGAGGGTGTTCCAAAGCCGGGGGGCCACCACCGAGAAGGCCCGCTCTCTCGTCCCCGCCAAACGTGCCTATTTAGCTATAGTTTTTCAATGGGTGGCGCATCGATTCTCAACCAATTCTGTCATCGAGGGCAGCGGAGGCCCCCGCCTTCAAGTTGGTCTGACCCGCAGTGGAGAGTTCCACAGTTCCTAGAAGCCACAATTGGGACAAACTGATGAAATGTGCCCCAACAGACAGCTCAACAGGGACTGCACTCAGCCTCTATGCCTTTCTATCACTTTCCCCCAAGCCCTAACATTGTAACTATTCCCCTAATAAAGATATTTGAAATTGCAACTTTTTAACTTTCTAGCTTGATACTTTGTGTCACTTTTTGCCTGAACTAGCTAAATGAATGAATTCAACCTTTTCCAGGCCGCGAGAAACTGCGAGCCTGCCCGGAATGCCTTCCTGGCGTTCCGGGGACGCCGAATCTGCGCCGCTTGAAACAGCGGATACGGAGTTTTTCCTTTCAGATCTCCGTATCCACAAAATGGCGGATCGGCTCCATTTTAATGTCTTATCATGTCTTTTAATGTCTTAAAATGGACTTCAATTCAACATAGTTTGTGCCACAGAAACAAAGTTTCCGGAATAGAACAACTACTTCCAAAGTAAGGATTGCACAACAAAACAGGAAGTAACACTTTCAAGCCAGGAACAGAAGAATGTTTACAAATTTTGTTACATGTTGTTGTTATTGTTGTTGTCATCAGGTTGCATTGTTGAAATACAGGATACTGCACTATTAAACAGGAAATAACACTTCAAACCAGGAATAGAAAAATGTTCAAATTTTGTTACATGTTGTTGTTGTTGTCATCATTGGGTTGAATTGTTTGAATACAGGGTACTTCAACAACAAACTTGTACAAATAAACAGGAAATAGCACTTTCAAACCAGGAACAGAAGAATGTTCAAATTTTGTTACTTCTTGTTGTTATCGGGTTGCACTGTTGAAATACAAGGTACTTCAACAACAAACCTGCACAATTAAACAGGAAATAACACTTCCAAACCAGGAATAGAAAAATGTTCAAATTTTGTTACGTTGTTGTTGTTGCTGTTGTTGTTGTCGTCGTCGTCATCGGATTGCATTATTGAAATACAAGGTCCTTTAACAAGAAACCTGCACAATTAAACAGGAAATAACACTTCCAAACCAGGAACAGAATAATGTTCTAATTTTGTTACGTTGTTGTTGTTGTTGTTGTTGTCGTCATCATCATCAGGTTGCATTGTTGAAATACAGGGTACTTCAACAACAAACCTGCACTTTGAATGCAATATTCCTGCTTCTTGGCAGAATGGGGTTGGCCAACTCTATGATTCTATGATTTTATGAATATAAATATTGTAAATAAAATATAAATAACTAGCCATCCCCTGCCACACTGTGGCTCACTCTGGTGGTCATGGGGGTTCTTTGTGGGAGGTGTGGCCCAATTCTATCGTTGGTGGTGTTCAGAATGCTCTGTGATTGTAGGTGAACTACAGTTCCCAGCAACTACAACTCCCAAATGTCAAGATTCTATTTTCCCCAAAACTCCACCAGTGTTCACATTTGGGCATATTGCGTATTCGTGTAGAGTTTGGTCCAGATCCATCATTGTTTGAGTCCACAGTGCTCTCTGGATGTAGGTGAACTACAACTCCAAAACCAAAGGACACTGCCCACCAAACCCTTCCAGTATTTTCTGTTGGTCATGGGATAACTGTGTGCCAAGTTTGGTTCAATTCCATCGTTGGTGGGGTTCAGAATGCTCTTTGATTGTAGGTGAACTATAAATCCCAGCAACTACATCTCCCAAATGACAAAATCATAATTTTTTGAGTGATGGTCACTCCTTGTGTTGTGAGATGTTTTATTACCAAATTTGGTGTGATTTTGTTCATTGGTTCTTTTGTTTTTAAGGTACTCATTACACACAGAGCATTTTTATATATATAGATAGATTGATGCAGCCTAGAATTGCATTGGCTTTTTTTGCTGCCCTATCACATTCTTGGCTCATGTTCAGCTTGTAGCCCATGAAGACACTTGGAATGGGCTGTTTCCAAGCCTGGGAATTGTGCCTTCCCTGTCCTCATTTACCACAATGTGTAGTAAATAATACACCATGTCTAAATTGAATAAATGAAAGCCTGCATACCTGGGCCAGGTGCGTGTGTGGCTTTGCTGGATTGGATTGAAGGAACCCGTTTCGCTTCTGGGGCTCATGCGTTCGCGTGACAATCCCAAATGATAAAAACCAGCCTGACCTTTGAAAGTCCTCCTTTTCTCTCTCTCCAGCAATTATCGCACGGTACATTGCAATGCGGTATTTAATAAACACAGCCGATCCGGTGCCGTGTTCATTAAAAGGGCGACCGCAGAGCGGCAATTGCAGGTGGAGGAAGGATATGGAGAGAGGGAGAAAGAGAGGAGATGCTGCAACGGAGGGGCCGACAAGGGTCGATCCGTATCTGGGTTTCTATCCCTCGTCCCTTGGGATACGCTCTTAACATGTTCCTTCTGCTCATCCAAAACCATAAGGGAAAGGCCAGAGATAAGAGAGAAAACAGCTGCATCTACAATGCAGAATGAATGCAGTTTGACAGTACTTGAATTGTAGGTCAGAGCACTGTCCAAAGTGACTCCCAGGTATTTGGGTGCGCTGCAATGCTCCAGTGGGATTCCTTCCCAGGTAATCCTCAGAGCTCGGGATGCTTGTCTGTTCTTAAGGTGAAAGGCACATGTCTGTGTTTTAGATGGATTAGGGATCAGCTGGTTTTCCCTGTAGTAGGCAGTAAGAGCACCTAGAGCTTCGGAGAGCTTCTGTTCAACCATCTCAAAGCTCCCTGCTTGAGTGGTGATGGCACGATCATCAGCATAGATGAAACTCTCTGTCCCTTCTGGCAGTGGCTGGTCATTTGTGTAGATGTTGAACATGGATGGAGCAAGCACGCTCCCCTGAGGCAGGCCGTTCTTCTGTTTCCGTCATCTGCTTCTCTGGCCCTGGAACTCAACAAAAAAGCTCCAGAGACACTCGCTGGAACACCTCAGCAAGCGAGAGTCCAAAAGTGGCAGGGCCAAACCCAGCACCTCAATCCGTGGGTGATACCAGATGAGAGACTCCCCCCTGGGCACACAGAAGACTGGGCGACTTGGAAGGCGCTGAACAGACTGCGCTCTGGCACCACGAGATGCAGAGCCAATCTTAAGAAATGGGGCTACAGGGTGGAATCCTCGGCATGCGAGTGCGGAGAACAAACCACTGACCACCTGCTGCAATGCACCCTGAGCCCTGCCACATGCACAATGGAGGACCTTCTTGCGGCAACACCAGAGGCACTCCAAGTGGCCAGATACTGGTCAAAGGACATTTAATCAACTACCAAGTTTGCAAAATCTGTTTGTTTGTTTTGTTCTGTTAGAAATGTAATACAATGGTATGGTTGCTGATGACACGATAAATAAATACCACTTGAATTGCCCTGGCTGTAGGCTGTAGGATCCTGGGAGTTGCAGTTTTACAAGGCCTGCAGGCTTCTCTGCCA